GAAACAGTATAGCCGTCTAATTTCTCCTGATTCATAAGGAGTATTTTAACAACCAGTGTCAGGTATTGGGACTTAAATCTTTTATGCTAGACTGTCTGCATACAGTATATTAAAACTCAGGCCTCCTCGTCATACAAGGAAAAACATGTAGAAAATGATGGTCAAAAGATAAGAAACAGTTCAAAATTTCATGTGTTAACCAACCAGATGGCAAACTAGTAGTGAATGCCAACAGATAGCTGGATAATTTCTGCTGTTGGGTAAACTGTTTTCTGATAAAGGTAGATGAAGACAGGTAGATGTTACTATTTGTACGTGCTTGCAGCTTCTGTAGTTCCTGCTGAAGTTGCTCGGTTGACTATATAAACATCTTAGGTTAATCAAAATGCATGAATATCCAACCTCCAGAATCTTAGTAGTGTAACTAAACAACGTAGCTTTTTTCATTTCACTCATTTGAGATAATTTATTTGTTAGTTACAGAGAACAACGGCTTGTGATGTTTTTTACTTAAGGTACGAAAACAAACGATACGGATTAATATTTGCACAGTCATAAGTATTTTTGCTGTCTGCTGAACAAATAAAAAGCAGTATTTGAAATTTTTTTCATTAAAGCTTTGTTCCACACGTTTTATTGGTACAAGTATGGAATTTTCAGCATGTGATATTGGTAGCCCAAATTTTGCAGGCCAACCGAATGCTATCAGGTGTTCGTTGGCTGGGGACGAAAACATTGTTACATCAGGGGAAAGATGGTCTAATGCGTATGGGTACAGTGCATTTTGCTTGTCAGAAAATATCTTCAATTAAGACGTTTTGTTTTATCTCGTCTAACGAGAAATTACTCCATTGATTTGTTATTATTTATTATTTTATTCCTTAATGTTACGAATGGAATATAGGGATTAAAATTAGAGCAGCCATTTGATCTTTTCTAACGGGATGGGGTTGCTAGCCTTATGTCCAGCCTTCCCTTTCTGCCGGTATTACTGTAACAACAGAAGACAAGGGCCAGGCAACAGAACGTTTATTACGGAAAATCAACACGTATTTATAGATTTTGATGTACATTATTGTAGGTTAATGTTAGTAGAAAATACAGTCTGTTGATTGGTTGTTTCTCACACAAAGTTAACTTTGCATCTCTTGTGGCTGTGTCAGTTCATCTATATGTTAACTGTATCCGCTTGTCCATCTTGACCTTTGACCTCAATTACTGTCAACCAATTTGGCTAGCAACCATCTCTCACCACATTACTACCAACTTCGCGAGTTTCCAGACCCTGTCGGCCGGGGATAGGAACCCTGACCACATAACACTCACATCACTTAAGTATCATATAGATAAACCTGTAGTCAGATAAATGAAATCCACTCACACAGAAGTCACTTTTCAGAAAGGTTCGATTAGCCAGAATTGTAGAACTTTTCTAAAACACTTTACAAGATAATTACCCATAGTGAAACATTCTAAAAATAGTTAGCATCTATGTTGTAGAATGTCTATCATCAAAAGGAAATTTTTAATGCAAAACAAGGCGTACTCTTTCTGACTGAATTATATTTTAATGTAGAAAAGCAAACCAAACAAAAAGTCATGTTTAAAATGTTGTTAAACAAGCAATACAAAAATGATTTCAAATATACAGGAAACTGAGAATGTTTCCAAGAAAGTTGGTGAATAGCTGTCAATGCAGATATTGCACACTTCTATTGTTGAGACATTTAAAGTGAAATAAAACTTTTTTCCCTGAGTTGGATTAATGTTAAGAATTGAAACTGTTGAGTGATTAGGGCGTAGACGTGAATTCGCTGTCTATTGAGATTTTAATTTCTAGTTGCAAGTACTTTTTTCAAACATAATATGATGGTGACACTGATATAATCAAATGTGTCATTTTTGAATTTGTATCAGATTGCAAGTTGACATGAGCGGTTTCAAACTACTCATATTAGTTAGTTGCATACATCGTTATGCATTCATGCTTGCCGTCTTGATTACCATTTATGATATCAAACAGATAGCATACTGTGATCTGAGTAGTTTTAGTTTCTACAAGAGAACGTTGTGATTTCTCACTTTGAACTGCGTAACTTCCAAAATGAGAGGTTGATTAACATTATAATCGTCTTTCAAGTAAATATCAACCCTTCTCATACAACAGACATTAAATAAGCCCAGAACTTCCAAATCCAAATATACGGTGCCTTAAATAGTTAGTCTAGCTTCAATGGACACAGTACTTCATATATGACTCAGTCGTTACGATGTATTTCAGAGGTTGGAAGAACTAGATATTCTTGGTTTGTGCTTACTGAAATTCTGACTTCCATATTAGTTTGTTTATTAGATATATCACACAGTGAAAGAGTATTATTTACTGAATGGCGTTTCGAACACAATTTATTGTTCATATTCATATCAGTTATAATCACACGACTTAGAAACTTGAGTTTTATAGTTTACTTTGTTCTCTGAAAAATGTGATGTATTAGCGCTATACATTTCGAACAATCTGATCACACATTTACTTGTCAAGTCAATATATATGGAAAAGTTAAATTAAACAAGGTGACAAAAAAAGAATTAAGAATAATTAACACAAACGTTTGGTAATCCAATCAAATAAGGATTACCAAGGTAGGTTAAGAGTAATAACAAACTGCTTTTGAATACACAAGGGGGGCTTAAGTTTATGAATGGCTATAGCCTCAGCGTATTTCAGTAAACGTCCTTGACCGTTTTTATAGATGACCTTAAAGGCTGAGTTAACATCAACCTTATGGTTCATCTCGATTAAGTGTTTAGCTATAGACGAAGTTGGTAGTCTAGCACCTGCATCTATGGGCTTGTTACAATTCATCTGTTTTCCTAACCACTTTGGGATATGCTCTCTCACCCTCACGTGCAACGCGCGATTACTCCTCCCTATGTATGTATGTCCACACACACACGAAAATTGGTAAATTGTATGGGATGTGATAAAATCACTTGTGCACTTTTGAGGTTTCCAGTGAAGCATATTTTTAGCCTTTTCGACAATTACAAGCTGGGCTGCATAGTAGGTTCTACGGATGATGGAATTCAACCTTTGTCTCAAAATCCTACTATTTATTTCCCCATTATATGGTAATTTGATGAAAACCTTTTTCTTAGGGACAGTATGGATTGTAGGTTTAGAGGCTAGTTGACTTCTACACCTGTTTAAAAACTTCAAAGGATATCCGTTTTCAACAAGAGTATCCATCAATATTTCGTTTTCCTTGTCTATAACATCAGCTGTGCAAATACGCTGAATCCTCTTAAATAGACACTTCACCAAGCCTCTCTTATATTGTAATGGACAGAAGCTGTGAAAATTTAGATATTGCCCTGTCCAAGTGGGCTTTCTGTAGATAGAACGTCTTATTGAGCCATCGTCTCTTCGACTCAGAAGTATGTCTAAAAATGCGAGCTGGTTGCGACTTTCTTCCTCGCATGTAAGACTAATATGATTCTGTACAGAGTTGAGTCTGTCCAATAGACGACTCGCATCTTCATGATCATCGCATATCAGAATGATATCGTCTACATATCTCTTATAAAAAGGCAATTTAGAAATTAAATCAGAAGATAAGTTTTCAACATAAGACATAAAAACATCCGCTAATAAAGGTCCTAATGGACTCCCCATAGCAACACCATCCACTTGTCTAAAATGTTCACCTTCAAACGTGAAATGGACGTTATCAGTACATAATAGTAATAAATCTTTCAAATAAGGTAAAGGAAAAGGAAGTGAAAAACAACTAGAAGATATATAGTCACAAAGAATATCAACAGTCTTAACCAATGGTACATTAGTAAACAAAGAATTAACATCAAATGAATACATTTTCCTATCTTTTATGTTCATATCTACAAGACAGTCAACAAGTTCAAATGTATCTTTTAAAGTAAACTTACATAATTCATTGCGCACTGGACTTAAAATATCAGCTAGCCATTTTGCTAATTTGTGTGTAGGCGAGTTACACATTGAAAGAATTGGCCGTAATGGATTATCAACCTTATGAATTTTGGGTAATCCATAGAGGTTTGGAAAGTCAGATCCCATGGGTTTCAAGGAATTAAACTCCTGTTTATCGATAACGTCCAAGCCACGAAGTTTTACTAAATGAGAATTTACTTTTCCTTCTAATTTTCTGATATCATCCGAAGGAACATCGGCTATGAATTTGCTTTTGTCACTAAGGATGGATAACATTTTTGTTTTGTAATCGCATCTGTCCATTACAACTACACCAGATCCTTTGTCAGGTTTCAAAATAACTAAATCGGTTCTGTTACGTAATTCCTTTAGGGCTTTAAAATGAGTTGATATTAAAATGCTTCTTTGTTTCCGACTTGAATTACGGAATTGGTGTGCTACATCTACAAATTTAACTTTCAACCAACTTTGGTCATCTGTCGAGGAAGGAGTTAGGGAACTCAACTGATCATACAAATTTTCAAACTGAGAATCAATTGCTAAGTCCGAAATATTCTTTAATGGGATAGAAAAATTGAAACCAAGTGATAGCACCTCCTTTTCATGTAATAAAAGTTCAACCGATGACAGATTTGTCACATACTTATCAGGATTTAATGGGAATTGGTTTAATTGAAATGTATAGCGCTAATACATCACATTTTTCAGATAATCTCCGTCTTCTAATAATGCTATCAAAATTTATAAAAGGGACTAACTGTTTTAAATTTTTGAAAAGAAGACTCCCTCCAGACACTATCAAACGGTTAGATGGACTTCTTACCCTGAAGTGTAAAGTAGCATCTGAAAAGGTGAAGTTGGATTTTTATAAATCTTGTCTCTCAACTCACACATTCCCGAAGGAATTTTACAAATCTCTTCGATCTTCTAAACTTCAACCAAATATTTCAAATCATATTCGCCTTACGAAATCTCACATTGACAATTCTAATGAGAAGTTATGTGGATTGATTGAACTCCATTTATCGTCATCAAATATATTGTCTGATGTCTCCATTATTTGCCAAATCAAGTTCATTAATTTTTGTAGCTCTGCCGTTAATAAGACGAAAGAGAATACCAGATTGAAATTGTTTGGATCTTGTACCTCTGACTTTCAATTAAACCAATTCCCATTAAATCCTGATAAGTATGTGACAAATCTGTCATCGGTTGAACTTTTATTACATGAAAAGGAGGTGCTATCACTTGGTTTCAATTTTTCTATCCCATTAAAGAATATTTCGGACTTAGCAATTGATTCTCAGTTTGAAAATTTGTATGATCAGTTGAGTTCCCTAACTCCTTCCTCGACAGATGACCAAAGTTGGTTGAAAGTTAAATTTGTAGATGTAGCACACCAATTCCGTAATTCAAGTCGGAAACAAAGAAGCATTTTAATATCAACTCATTTTAAAGCCCTAAAGGAATTACGTAACAGAACCGATTTAGTTATTTTGAAACCTGACAAAGGATCTGGTGTAGTTGTAATGGACAGATGCGATTACAAAACAAAAATGTTATCCATCCTTAGTGACAAAAGCAAATTCATAGCCGATGTTCCTTCGGATGATATCAGAAAATTAGAAGGAAAAGTAAATTCTCATTTAGTAAAACTTCGTGGCTTGGACGTTATCGATAAACAGGAGTTTAATTCCTTGAAACCCATGGGATCTGACTTTCCAAACCTCTATGGATTACCCAAAATTCATAAGGTTGATAATCCATTACGGCCAATTCTTTCAATGTGTAACTCGCCTACACACAAATTAGCAAAATGGCTAGCTGATATTTTAAGTCCAGTGCGCAATGAATTATGTAAGTTTACTTTAAAAGATACACTTGAACTTGTTGACTGTCTTGTAGATATGAACATAAAAGATAGGAAAATGTATTCATTTGATGTTAATTCTTTGTTTACTAATGTACCATTGGTTAAGACTGTTGATATTCTTTGTGACTATATATCTTCTAGTTGTTTTTCACTTCCTTTTCCTTTACCTTATTTGAAAGATTTATTACTATTATGTACTGATAACGTCCATTTCACGTTTGAAGGTGAACATTTTAGACAAGTGGATGGTGTTGCTATGGGGAGTCCATTAGGACCTTTATTAGCGGATGTTTTTATGTCTTATGTTGAAAACTTATCTTCTGATTTAATTTCTAAATTGCCATTTTATAAGAGATATGTAGACGATATCATTCTGATATGCGATGATCATGAAGATGCGAGTCGTCTATTGGACAGACTCAACTCTGTACAGAATCATATTAGTCTTACATGCGAGGAAGAAAGTCGCAACCAGCTCGCATTTCTAGACATACTTCTGAGTCGAAGAGACGATGGCTCAATAAGACGTTCTATCTACAGAAAGCCCACTTGGACAGGGCAATATCTAAATTTTCACAGCTTCTGTCCATTACAATATAAGAGAGGCTTGGTGAAGTGTCTATTTAAGAGGATTCAGCGTATTTGCACAGCTGATGTTATAGACAAGGAAAACGAAATATTGATGGATACTCTTGTTGAAAACGGATATCCTTTGAAGTTTTTAAACAGGTGTAGAAGTCAACTAGCCTCTAAACCTACAATCCATACTGTCCCTAAGAAAAAGGTTTTCATCAAATTACCATATAATGGGGAAATAAATAGTAGGATTTTGAGACAAAGGTTGAATTCCATCATCCGTAGAACCTACTATGCAGCCCAGCTTGTAATTGTCGAAAAGGCTAAAAATATGCTTCACTGGAAACCTCAAAAGTGCACAAGTGATTTTATCACATCCCATACAATTTACCAATTTTCGTGTGTGTGTGGACATACATACATAGGGAGGAGTAATCGCGCGTTGCACGTGAGGGTGGGAGAGCATATCCCAAAGTGGTTAGGAAAACAGATGAATTGTGACAAGCCCATAGATGCAGGTGCCAGACTACCAACTTCGTCTATAGCTAAACATTTAATCGAGATGAACCATAAGGTTGATGTTAACTCAGCCTTTAAGGTCATCTATAAAAACGGTCAAGGACGTTTACTGAAATACACTGAGGCTATAGCCATTCATAAACTTAAGCCCCCCTTGTGTATTCAAAAACAGTTTGTTATTACTCTTAACCTACCTTGGTAATCCTTATTTGATTGGATTACCAAACGTTTGTGTTAATTATTCTTAATTCCTTTTTTTGTCACCTCGTTTAATTTAACTTTTCCATATATATTGACTTGACAAGTAAATGTGTGATCAGATTGTTCGAAATGTATAGCGCTAATACATCACATTTTTCAGATAATCTCCGTCTTTTAATAATGCTATCAGAATTAATATCAGTAAAAAGTTTGAGCATTGTGGATTAGATCAAATAAAGTATAATTATATTTCAATAGTTTACACACAATGATAAGTTTTGTTATTGGTAATATTTCGAGCAATATTTCGTGTAGAAAATAAGATTTGTATTTAATCAGCATTAGAATTCCTTTGAACTGATTTCCTCAACTTCCTCGTAATTATTTCGTTAGGTATATGTATCGCCCTTGAGTTGCAGTCGTATGTGTAAAGACTTCTTGTTTCCCGATGAAGAATATTTATTTTCCACTTTCTCAGTCATGTGTTTCCTGATGAATTTGTCTGGATAGCTAGGTATTTTCAGTTCAAGCATCATATACAATCAATTCTCAGTTGATCTTCAGTTACCCCTTGTGAGCGTATAGCTGTAAGCGTGTGGCTGAATGTCTTTACTAAATTTCTGTTGTCCTGGAGATCAGCGAAGCTATAAAAACGTGTAAACTGTCCTGTTCATGTACTTTTCCTACGGAAATTTGTCTTGATGCCACCATCAGGTTTTCTTGTTAGGAGGACATCTTGGAAGGCAATTATTTGTGCACTGGAATTCTTCTTCGCACGTGAATTTCATAGCCAAATGTACTTCATTGAACTGAGTTATTATTGCGTTCCTGTCCGAATCATCATCACAAAGAATAAAAATGGCATCCATGTACCGGCAATAAAATGAGAACTTTCTGATGAGGTT